TTTATTTATTTATTTATTTATTTATCTATTTATTTATTTATATTAGGAGGGCCTGCTGGGGATTGAACCCAGGACCTCATGCAAAAGCATGCGCTCTACCACTTGAGCTATACCCTTCCCACCCCCAGCTCTCCTTAAGTGAAGGAAGAAAGAAGGAAAAGAATCCAGTATCCAAGTTCAGCCCTCATCTCACTCACACTTGCTTTTTATTGATGAAATTTCCATATTGTCCATGTAAATGAGACATCTGGGAGGATACCAAGACACTGGTAACTAAACAACAGGTTTATACTAGATAGCACAGGGAACCAAATTCAGTGTCTTAGTATTAACCTATGGAGAAGAGGAATATGAGAATGAATGTCTGTATGTTCCTGTGTGACTGAAGTACTGTGCTGTACACCAGAAATTGACACAACATTGTAAACTGACTGTACTTCAATAAAAATATATTTAAAAAAATTTTTTTAAAGGGGGAAAAATGACACTGGTAGCCATGGTTACCTGGAGAACTCTTGTTACTCAGAGTCACAGGGAGGCAAACTTACTTTTCACCCTATATCCTTTTATTCTGCTTTCAAATTTTTACCATGGGCATACATACGTCTACAAAAGTGTTTATGTCAGAAAATCCCCCCCCAAGTTAAACCAAAGCCAAAGTGTATTTACATCTGTAAAAATCATATAGTGATGAAATATAAATGGTTAATAAAGGTAGGAAAAAGCGGTCAAACGTACTAAGAAATACACATTAAAAAAATGAGAACTTTTTCACTTAGATTGCAGAGAGGTAATGAAGGATAATACCCCATGTTGGTGAGGACACGGGGACAGAAGGCGTCTCACACTTGGTGTGAGAATAAAGTAGTAAAACCTTTCTGGCAGGCAGTGTAGGGTTTGTTTTCAAATTGAAAATGTCGTCAATTAAAAACAAGTTAACAGGGAGGTGGCAGGAGAATATAGCTCAAGTGGTAGAGTGCATGCTTATAATGCAGGAGGTCCTGGGTGCAGTCCCCAGTGTCTCCTCTAAAAATAAATAAATAAACTCAATTACCCCCCCAAAAAAACCTCAAACAAAAGTTAACCAACATTCTAGGAATTTTACCTAAGGAAATTATCTGAAATGTGTGTGGGTTTTTATGCAAGGTTTTTAGTGGCAATGCCGCTTACAACCTGAATGTCTGGGTTTTGGTGGGGAAACCTGATTCCTGGCCCCTGCTACTCCACCCTCCTCAACCCCAGTCCATCTATGATACAGCAGTGATGTGATACAGTGGTGAGTAGGGCCCCTGGTGGCTGTGATCACCTAGGGTTGGCAGAAAAGAGCAGTATCTGACTTTGTTCCTCTTGGGCAAGATGAGAGCCTGGGTACCAGAGAGGGAGAGGTGAAAATTAATATGCTTAATATCTCCTTAATTTCTGGAAAGATCTTGGCCTTGGAAACTCGTGGAACTACAAAGAAAGTTAATTCTTATTTGTTACACTAAGTGTGTATCATCTCCATCATTAGCCCAGTAGTTTAGCCAGGGTTTGGGAAGGGCAGAGCCTACATGTGGAGACGGTAGCTTGCTGCTCATCCTGGCCCAGAGGTGCCTGATTATCCATCTCTGGGGCTGGGAGAGGGCTCTGCAGCTGAGAGGAGGCAGGAATTGAGGGCTTCCCTTCAAGTGCTCCATGGAGAACTGCTGCTTCTTGTCAGCTTGGAATGTGGCTAGAATACAGCAGTAGAGACCGCTGGCTCTCCCCACGGTTGTGCCTCTAGGTATCTCTCTGCTTGACCCATGGCCAGAGGGTAAAAACTGTCAGGAGGAGGTAAGAGAAAAATAATAGTACACTTGAAGAGACTTGGCACTGAGAGGGAGGAGGAGCAGGCAGAACTCTCAGAATAAGCAGTTCTTGAGTGGGAGGATATAGCTCAGTGGTAGAGCACATGCTTAGCATGCATGAGGTCCTCGGTTCAAACCCCAGTACCTCCATCTAAAAATCCAGGCAGCTCTTGATGAAATATCACTTCTGAGGGAGACAGAGGACAGCTCTACCCAAATACGAATGACTGGAGGAGATTTGATCATAGCAAAACTTCCTGGAATTGAAAAGTATGTTTTGTTTTTAAATTAGTGTTCAGGAGATAAGTTGAAGGAGAGGATGGTCATCATAATGTTAGTGGTCTGATAGATCAAGTGGAAGAAATATCTCAAAACCCACCAAAAATAGAAAGAGAAAAAGAAACCAGGAAGGCAAAAACTTGGAGGACCAATCAGTACTGACCTTGGTGTTGATTAGACCTTTCCTGAACCAATTCCTGTGGTCAGGAGATGCCCCTTCCCACATGCTGGGTTATCTGAGCCAATCACTGAGCCAAGGGAGAAGGAGCTGACCTTAACTGGTTAGGCCAATTAGGGACCATTTTGTGGGTTGAGTCAATACCACCAACACAATGGGATAGGGTGGAATTTTTTTTCAGAGGACAACTACCTTAAATATCCCTTGTACTAACACATGGTACCTGGCTGAAAGGATTGTCCTGAAGATAAATGACATCCTGTGTAAGATTCTTAGCACAGTGCCCAGCACATAGTAAGCCCTAGAGAAATAATTATCATTATTTTCTCATTTGTGTTTAAGAGGTGTTTGTAAAATTTGAATGGATATAGATGCCCTTCTCAGTTTTGACAATGAATCTTATAAGTGCTCGACATAAAATCCTAGAATTGGCAGAATGTTGTTACTCAGCCATCACTTACAGAGTGCTTCTCAGACTTTAATATGCCCAAGAATCAAATAGGGATCCTGTTCAATGCAGATGCTTAGTTTAACGCAAATTCTGATTCAGTCTAGGGGAGGCCTGGGGGTCTGAATTTTAAACAAGCTCCGAGGTGATGCTGATGCTATTGGACCACAAGACCACACTTTGAGTAGCAAGGACCTCGGAAGGGTTTTGCCTCTTCTGTGTGATTGAAGGGGCTTACTGCTGCCTTCATGCTCCATGGATGGACAGAGGAAGCATGAGGAACACATGCAATTTTCTTTTTTTTTAATCTCTTTTTAATTTAAAAATTTCAAACCTTCTGAGTATTTGAAACAATAATGCAAACACCTATGTACATTTTACCTAACTTAACCAATTATTCTTCCTAAGGATGTGCTGAAGAACTTAAGTTTCCCACATCACTTTTACTCTTGTCCATTGGTAAAAACTTTGGCATATAGCCTCGCCTTGCTGCTAAGGGAGGCTAAGAAATGTAAGCCTAGGTTGACAGCTATTTGCCTGCTATAGGGGGTGCGCTTCTATTACTACAAGATTTGATAAAGCAGTTATTTTTTAAAAAGATGAAGGAAGAGCAGGAAGAGGAAGACAACGGATACCAGGGGACAAGCCATCTCTGACGCGCTGACTTGCTGAATCTTGCAATCAGCTCTCTTCAAAGTGGATTCTGGAAAGACTGGAGCTAAATTTGCAGCCCATCTCTAGAAAGTATGTAGGACTTCAAAGTATGCATTTTATACCCACCTCATTCTTGACTCTTCTATCCTCATTTATGTTAAAGCTTTTGTTTTTTACAAATTTGATTGTAATTTAATAGTGATATGCTAAACGTAATTGTATGAGTGTTTGAAGTGTCCTGAATGGACCCAAACAGGTTTACCACAGCACCTTTGCTTACAGTACCATGTTTGCAGCACTTAAAACTGTAAATCTACAGAGTTGTAAATGGTATTAAATTCATTTTCATTTTGCTATGATTTTTCAGCCTTTAAAAAAGTGGGAACTTCAGAAACTGTTACAAAAAGGAAATATAAATACAGGCTGCTTTATACAAGTCAAGAGTCCAGCAACTGCTAACATATTATGTAGACAATAGAATATCCTTGTTTTATATCCCTTGTTACACTACTCTTGATCTATTATACCAATTACCTTTAAAACTTCTAACCTCTTTAGATACATTTTCCTTGTCAAAATGTTAAAGAATATGTATTTAGTATTTATAAGATAGTGTGATTTTAGACTGTTTTGACGTGTGATAACATTTATTCTCTTGGATATGAATTAAATCCTTTTAGGGTTGATCATTTTAGCGTTCCGATTCCATCCTTTGGCTATGTTACGACTGTATAAGTTATTTGAAGGCAAAGACTAAATCTCTTCTTTAAAGTTAACATCAGATTTTGCTCAATACGGGTCCTTTAGTAACAAAACTTGAGTTAGGTCTTGTGATATAGACCCTCTTGCAGCCTGAGGGCGACTGACCCCTGTCCACTGACACAGCGACAGCCGTAAACTGCCTTTCAGCAAAGACTGGGCTCTGGCTGCCGGCCAACGTCCGGTGCCAAACGGGGTGGCGCCGCCAACTAGACGGCCGGGCCACCCAATCACGCTTCGCTGGTTCGACATCCCGCCAGCCGCCGGAACGTAAAAGCTCAAACCCCAAACCCAAACGAGGGGAGTGTTGGCTGATAACTGGAGGGCTGTGAGCAATCCCCGTCTTCGGGAGCCTCCAGGTCTCCCACAAACCCGGGGGACGCTCAGCTGAGCCCGAAGAGCCGGAGCCTGCCGGCTATCACCGCCGCCGCGCCCGGGGCGTCCACGCCCACCAGGCTCAGGTCCCGCCGGCCCTCTCTC